TTATTATTATGGGTAAGCCATCTGTCAGTGGCTAAACATCTTTTTCCCCAGCAATGTTTCAGGAAACAGATGTTTATCCACATCGCTAAGAGTACACAATACATTACAGGAGAATTTGTAATTCAATATTGTCACACACACACACACACACACACACACACACACACAGCATTTTCTTTCCTTACATTTGTCTGTGCATATGCACATACACAAACATGATTTTCCGAAGTCATATTCTATTCATCTAAAATAATATTCACAATGTGTAATCAGTGGAATGCAAATTGAATCTGATCTGTTAATAAGTAGCTTGCCCAATATATGAAACCAACTGTCCCATAAGCCTTCCTTCTAGTAGCTCAGCCTAGCTGACTATCATAACTCAGCTCTCAAATGATTTATGAAATTCTCAGCATATTCTCTGGGTAAAAGACCCCTTCACCTGTCAGCGCAAGTGATTAGCCAAAACCTTTTATGTTTTTATGCTTTAAAAATGAGATAAAGAAGGTAGATATCAAATAGCTAGCCAGACATTTACATCTGGGTGCTGTTAAGAGTCAAGCAACATGCAAAGGTTTAAACAAACAGAGTTTTACCATCTGAACATATGCCTATTACACTGTTAGATCAACTTAACTGAAATCAACACTATGAACATCAACATGCACAAAACATGGCACACACTTATAAACATGTTACTTCCATACAGATAACTGTAACAGTGAAAGTGAAACACAGTTCAGTAAGTATGATACAGAAAAGAGATAAAGCAACAGAAAGACATAGGAAAAACTGGACTTGGAACACAGCAAAGATTACAGTTTTTAAGCATCACTTCTAATAAATGATTGGTTTTCTACCACCTTAAACGCACCACAAACAGAAACCAGAAGTTACAATCTTTTCATCTACAGAAGAGTCATACAGGCAAGATAAATAACCATAGGTGCATATCGGTGTATTGTTTTATACACAAGGCAGATTGAGAAAGAATATGCCACCCTCACTTCCAATTTCAGGCTGAGAATGATGCAAGTTCCCTTCATTTTCTACCCAAGCAGCATCTGGCATCCTAACTCACTCCATGCAATCATACTGATACTCAAGACAATTCCAAAACAAACGTCTTTAAGATTGAAGTGTCAGCAGTCTTTAGTAGTGAGGTGTGAAATTCATTTCAATTTATATTAAATGAATTAATCCAATTATCTGCAGTTTACTACACAGACACACACCTCCGCATTCTTCCTGAAGAGCTTTGTTTAATTACAGGTGGCAGTTATAGGCTTATCTTGCTCTCTTAGAATAGGACTTTTAATAAAATCATCTTAACAATGAACACAAAACAGTTCTTGAAATTAATTGCTGCTTGGTTTTTTAAAAAAATTCTCAAATGTTTTGCAGGATATGGAGATCTTTTAGGGAAATCATCATATCTTTTCCTTTCAACAACCTGCTCAACTCAAAGACCAAAAACACATAACTGACTACATTCATGGTTAAAAGCCCGACATAGTTTGAGCTTAAAAGGACTGCCAAAACCTTCGTATTTGTCATATTGCAGCTTGCAGGATTATCCACTGTGTCTCTTCCAAGTATGCCAAACTGTATTCTGAACAGTGTTGGTGCAAATGTGTGTGTGCATGTGCACTTTTTTTAAAAAAAAGAAGTTTCAAAGGACTCCCTGGAAGATTGAACTAGAGACAGAAGGGTTAATATGGAAAGAGGCATGGCAGCTTCAGCCAAGAGTTGAAGAGCTTTATAGTCTTGATGATATTTCACAGAAGCCCTCCATTTCCAAAATCACAGAAAAACCAGCCACCACACAGTCAGTGCAAGGACCACCAAAAAAGACATCATAAAGGGAATGCGTGGAGAAGGAAAAGCTCTAGAGTATAGGTGGCATGTTTTGAGCGATTTCTGCTCTTCAGGAATTTGAATAGAAATCTTTGCCTGGATTTCTTCATTTGTTTGTTCGGGCAAAGTTCCCTCAGTAGCTGTCTCTTGCTTTTTATTATTATCTTCATCCTGCACTAACAGAGGACGTTCCAGTGTCTGCTTTCATGGTAAGAAGATCAAGAAAGACAGAGAGATGAACAAAATGACAGGTGGAAAGTGCTCAAAAATGATACTCGGGGATGTGCAAGGACAGAAGTCAGAGAAATTGACATGAAGTTAACTAAAGTGTGCTCTGCTGCTGCATTCAATACATTCCTCCACTAATCCTGTACATTGGGACCAGGCTATAGGGACAAATACGAAGTGCTTTCTAAGTGGGTAAATAATTCCTAAGTTGATAATAGTTTTCAGTGGAGAAACCCATTTAATGTTAACTCCACCCATGTGCTAAAATACATCTTTCAGCATTAAACTGTAGAAATATTTGCAAAACAATAATCTTGTTGAATTACAAAGAGAAACACTGTTGTACAAAACGTTGGTCATAACTTCCTATGCTACACTGATCTTCAGAATGGCATTAATTATTTGATACTTAAATTGTAGTGCAAATATAATTGAATTCTGTCAAAGATATTGCCATGGAAGATAGTATCAAAAGTTCCACTTCAAAATTATATTGTGGTTAAAGTGCAAAGTGTTCAGTCGCTTGAAAAACCAATAAGCTGGAATATTATTTTTTTAATGTTACAATTACAAAGAATGGAGTTACTCCACATTGATTTCATCTGTGTCACCAGTGTGTAAAGAATATAACACAATACAAAGCTATATTGCAGTTGTATATGAAAACTAAGTGTAAGCTAGAAAACAGGGAATTTCTTTGTTTTGGTCTGTTCAAAACATATTCTATACGTTTATTTTTGCTATGTATGGCAAATGAAAGCAGCTATCTAGGAAAGGAAAAAATTAGCTCTCAGCTCTCTCAGCTGAGTCAATCTTCTTTGATCAGCCTGATATTTGGGGACATTGTCTTTGCACACCCCTAAGTGATGGGTATCAGGGAGAAAGTAGCTGGGGGGCTGGGCAGCAAAAAAAATGATAATGATACAGAATGCAAGAGAGTTTAAAGAAAAACAGGAAAAGAGAGGAAGACAACATAAAAAGAACAGGGTACAGTTAAACTTTCATAATTGCTCTCTCTCTCTAAATATATGGCAACATATTCATGCAACTTTTTCAATCAGCCATGCGCTGAAAAAAAGCAACTGAAAGCTGCAAAAGCTTGCAGCAGTGCAAATCCTTTTTAAAAGTGTTAGAACAGGAGGCTGTGAGAGATGAAACTATTTAAAAAGGCAGCCAAAAGAAAATGCCACTCAGCAGCTGCTGTTGAGGGTTTTGGTTTTGCTCAGTGCCATTACAACAGCAAAAGTCTGCTTCAGAAGCACATATCAAAACAGCAGCTTTACCTCTGGCCCACCAACCTGTCTCTCATAGGACTGAAATGTGGCTTGCTTGACCTGGACATGCACAAAGTATGGAAAGTTCAGTTGTTTTGTGATGTAGAATAATAATAATAGTAATAATAATATCACAGCCCCACTGTACAGATTACCAAGATTACTGCAACAATAAAAAGGTAGCCTTCCTTCCACATAAGACATCTACAGACAAGATGTAGTTGTCTGCAGGTGCCTCTTATTACAATTGTTAATTACAATTCTTGAAAAGTCCACCAGTCTAATGTTCGATCCCTATATTGGCCATCTGCATATTCTAGAATTGCAGGAGGTTTTACTCGATGGCCCTTGGAGCTACTTCCAACTCTACAGTTCTATGATCATTTGCACAGTTCATGGAAGACAAACTTGGGAAATGAATAAGCATTCTCAAACATTGCCCTCAAGTCACAATAACCACTGTTGTAGGAGGGAATGTATCAACAATTCAATTTGCACATATCCAGCTCTTACAAAAGCAATACTTGCAACGTCTGCTTCAACAACATCTTGCATAAACTTTACTTTAATCAGAACTCCCAGCCAAACATTTAAAGTTTTGTGTGCTGTTTCACTATCATCAACAAGGATCAATCCATTCATATTTTTATCTTTCATTGTAAACGTAATTGTAATCAGCTGAAAAATACCCTCTCATCTCCTCATTAAACAAACACCAAACTGTAATTTCTGGACATTCTAAGTTCACTCAGTATTTAAAATGCCAGATGCCTTGAATATTAAATTAGAAGAAGTATTTGTTCAAACTTAACTAAACATTTAATCTAAGCCAGTGCTATTTAACATTGCATTCAGGTTACTGGGTTGGATCCAAAGAACCAGGAGCTGATGGAACATAACTGCTGTTCCACAATGCTTGCATGGGGGGTCCACAATGAGCTGGTTCTATAGCGGTTCTCATTCTGCTTCTGTTTGTGCAAGAAACAGCATACATTCTTGTACGAGAAGAACGTTGCTGAATTTAGAAAGACGTTTTCTCATGTAACATAATAGCGTGAAGCACAAAGCAAGTCCTTTTGCAAGTGAAAGTCACTTTCTGCACATGGAAGAAGATCTTTGGATCCAAGCCACTGAAACTACAGTTTTACTGCAAAGGTTGGTAGTAATGTCAAAAACAAATTCAACTACTTCTTTTTTTCTAAGTAACACAGAACCACTAGCTGGTTATTATTCAGAGAGCCCAACAGTTACCCTTTTATGAAAGTAAAAGACTGAGACATACATATATACATGGGTCTTGCTCACTAAATGTGTTATAACGAAAAAGACCTTATGTTGTCACAGTATGACTTTTCAACCCCTTGACTTCAGCAGTAGTCTCACAAGATTTGAAAAAGAATTACTTCAGGCAAAGTGGTTTGAAAGCTATGACAAAAAACTGTCAGCTAAGATGTGAAAACAATTCTCACTCAATATACAGAACAGGAATCAATAACAAAAATATAAATATTATTGCATTACCTTTGGTTTATTCCACCCACCTCCCCACACTGCATTGTACTTCCCTGGAGAACAAAAAGCTGGTTTTGTTAAGAGCAAAGCCAAGCAAATCACCAGTTCCATGCTATGTAAAGTACTCACTCCTTCTACTCCTGTGGGGATCTGTCCATTGATGTTAAGGGTCCTGAAGGGAGAATGAGTTGAGAGGCGCTTGTCCCATTCACTTGGCCGTGGCTCAGGGACAGATTCCATAAAGTTCTTCTTCAGTTCGCTAATGCTAGCATGATGCTTCTTTATCCCCTCTTGAGGTTTATCTAGATCCTATCATTTAAGAAAAAGAAGCCAAAAAACAAAACCAGCAAAAAATTTATTAAACATGCATTTACCACCTTCACACTATCAAATTCACTGCACTAGGCGGCTCAGTCTCCATTAGCTCTACTCACATTCTGAACTAAACACACATTGGGAATATCACTTTTTCTTCTTTCCTCAAAAATAAAAGGGTATAATTTTCTAATGAGTTATAGGTGTCCCCCAGTGAATCATTTAAGTAGTTTTCAGTTTGAAATCTTCTTACCTAGATTAACAAATAAACTCAGAACTATTAATTGAACACTGTCTCTCCACACCCCCGCAATGTTGAATTACTTTTAAATAAAAGTAACTATAAATCCCCAATGCACGATAAATAATCTTAGCATCTTTAAGGCTGCAATCCTGTTACCAACTTACCTGGGAGTAAGTCCCATTGAAATCAATGGGATTTACTTCTGAGTAGACATATATAGGATTGCGCTGTAAGAAGCTGGCTCTAGTATCTGTTTCTATGATATACTGTACTACTGAGCATCACAAAAGCAGCTTATGCATATCCCTTTTTTTTTTTGCAAAGCATTAGCATACATTGGTTTAAGCAATGCAAGAAAAAATAATTTAGGAAGGGTGCCAGAGGTTATACAAAAATCAATTAAGTCACTGGCAAACCTAAATTCAGAAAATTATGTTACTTCCCCCTTGCACTTTCCACAGTAGTGTGATTGATTTGATTTATCATACTTAGAAGGGGAGGGAAAGACGGGGCAGCATATGTGGCAATTTTCCATGTGCAGGAAGAATTTTGCTCTGAAAGATGAACTGAGCCCTTGTAACCTGGTGTAGGACACATGACTGGCCTAGGTCCTCCTTGCAAGTTAAGGGTTGAAAGAATTCAAGAACTTGAGAGTGTTCTGGCTTGCACTCTGAACACTTTCTATTATGGCTTCTAGATTTGCCCTCTGTTGTAATCACATATGAGAACTTTCCAGATAGCGTAACAGCCATCCAAGCCACTTATTAATATAGAAGAGAATTCAGACCGCCCCAAGAAAAGTTTGAATCATTAGGGCTGTATCCAACTAAGTTCTATTCGGAGTAAACTAATTCAAATTACAGTGGTACCTTGGTTTAAGAACAGCTTAGTTTATGAACAACTTGGATTAAGAACGCTGCAAACCCGGAAGTAGGTGTTTTGGTTTCTGAACTTTGCCTTGGAATAAGAACATGTTTCACTTCCTGTAGAGTGTGTTCCATTTGTAAATTGAGTCCCCCGCTGCTATGGGAAAGCACGCCTTGGTTTAAGAACGGACTTCCGGAACAGATTAAGTTCGTAAACCAAGGTACCACTGTAATGGATTCCAAGTTAGACTTGGAACAGGAGTGCAGTAAACACTCCCAGATAGGTATTTTGTGTTGTTGTCCTTTAGACTGTATTTTTGCTTTGGGAACTGTTGGGACTCCTCAAGCTCCTCTTGTTTCAGGAAAAATTTCCAAGGCTGGGTCATAAGACCCCTGAAGTGATCCAACCAGAAGGAAGGCTATACCATGTAAAATGGCTCATAAAAATAGACATATTTCTACTTAATTGCAATATCCATTAAATTCAATTTGTGCCAATGATCTAGTATCCAATACTTAAAGGTTCCCAGATTTTTCAAAGACCTGGAATAGCTCATTTGGTAAAGCATGAGACTCTTAATATCGGGGTCATGGGTTTGTGCCCCATGTTGGGAAAAATATTCCTTCATTGCAGGGGAGTTGGACTCGATGACCCTTGTGGTCCCTTCCAACTCTACAAAACTATGATTCTATGGATTCTTAAACATAAAATACTGGGAAAATTTAATGGACACGAACCAGGGTGGGCCCTTGAACCATCTGGGACATAATTAGGCTAAATCACTGAGTAAGAAGATGTTAACAAGATTCGGGCTGCAATCCTATACATGCTTTCCTGGGAGTAAGTCCCATTGAATACAGCATGACGTTTCAGTTAACATAAACAGGGCCTCATCGTTAAGCAGGGTTACCCAATACTAATGGAATCTAACAGTGACAGTGACAGTGAATCTGTGACTCTCCAGCTGGAATATAACCCCCATCTTCCCAGATCACTGACAAAGCAGGCAAAATCTGAAGGGAACAGATTCCCCATCCCTGCTCTTACATGTTAAGAGCTCCAGTCATAAAGCTGTTTTTTACTCCAGAAATATTTATAGAAAGGCATTTTAGTCTGTTGTTTTTGCTGCAAAGGGTAATTGAATTTTAATATATTAAATATTCATCTTTAAAGTGTCACAAAACTTGGTTGTTTTTATTCCAAAATATTTTAAATGGCCAGATTTTATATTTTCTGAGGCAGTTTTGTATAATCCAAGATCTACCTCCTCCCCAAAAGCCTATACAATTAATTAATTAGTTAAGTCATGCCCTATGATTTCAATGGTTCTACTCTGAGAAGGACCTGGCTGCCAGGGCTTCATTGCAAGGTCATGCCACCTGAAAGAGCAAAAAGGGAGTTTTTCATTATCAAGTGTGCCACTGCTTCAAAGGATCATATGGTGATTTAAATCTAAGACAAACTGCACAAATTGAAAACTGGAGAACGGCAGATCATAAGGTGTTTAACTAGGTCTTGTGTGCTTCTTTTCAATGTTGTTGTGATCATCCCTGTGGTCTGATAAGATAAGACAAACACTCAGGTGCGTCAGTGGATCACTCTTCTTTCCTAAACACAATCAGATGGAACTGAACTTGCTTGTCCGATACACAAAGTCAAAAAGAAAAAAATAACCACAATCAAGGTTATAATTAGAGGGTTTTTTGTTTTTTATTTGATGACCAGTGAACACCTGCAACAAAACAGTTAAGAGTCAGACCAGGCATGTGAATGGGAGTTGGTAGTAGGCACTGGATCATATAGAGCCTTATATGGCTACGGGAAGGTAACCGTACTGGAAAGAGACATGTGCATGAAGTTATAAAACCTCAACTGGAAGGAGGTAATAGATTAAACTATCAGATAAAGGACAAACTAAAATATCATGGGTGAAATTTTCACCCCCTCTTGCCAGAAGAACTCTTCTTGACTGGATTACAGACCATTTTACTGATGTCCAAAAGTTCTGCACTGTAGCAATCAAACCCAAAAGCTGTAAATCACTAAATTAAACTTCAAAAAGTAGTTAGTGCATTTTAAAAGAAGAGACACTGTTTACGAAACTCCTATTAGCTGCTATTTCTGTAAACGTGGATAAAAACACATAGCACATAAGAATGGAGTCAGTATAAGAAGCCACACATCTCCAAATATCAGTAATATATGATTGGAATGTTCAACACTTCCAAGATCTGTGGGATACAAATTTAATCGGTATTAATCTGAAGGCAAGGTAGCCATGAGCTACATTGTGTAGTCAAAGCAACAGAAAATTTAGTGGTTCTAGAATAACAAGAAATACAAAAATGTTAAATGTTAAAGTTGAAATATAGCAAATGGCCTATGCGAGGAAAACAGCCCCACTCTGCTGTGTGGAAGCAGCTGTCTACACTTTTTAAAACATGCATTCAGAGAAAAAGCTTATGTGATGACATTCTATTTCCAGGTTTTAAAATTATTTGCAGAATTAAGATATAAACTACTATAATATCAGTGCTTTTAAATGCTACTGAATGATTTGTTAATTTTGGGGAGATGGAATATATCTCCCAAGAATCATATTAGTACTAATTTGGTGGTAGAGTACATGTTCTTCAGCAAAAGGTTCCAGGTCCAGTCCCTGTCATCTCCAGGTACGGCTAAGAAAAACTTATCTCTGAAACCTAGAGAGGCATTACCCATTAGCATAAGACAACTAAGCTAGGTAGACCAATTGTTTGACTTGGTACAAGGTACTTTCCAGTGATCATCCAGCAATTATGCATTTGGAATGCTCTGTGGGCTTGATCTCCTGCCACTGTCACTAGTTTTTAAAGCAGTACTGTCCTTTTACATAAAAAAAATGTAAGAGCATACAAATGCCCCAGCAGAAACTAAAGTACACAAAATAAATGCAGTACACCTAGCCTCAGTGTAGCTCAGTGAACTGAAAAGAATGGAAATGGTGAAGCGGAACTGCTTGGTGGATTGTGACCATGGTTCCCTAGTAATTCTACTAGATATATTGCAAATCACAAAGATGGCAGAGCTTAGTTTGCAGGGGAAACAGTCCTTGGTACTAAAATAAACATAAATTGCAGGTAGCTTTGAAGTCAGCTGTCCAGGACAGAAATCCTCAAACTAGAGGAAGATGGCCATTTGCAACTTTGGGTGGGATGGAAGACAAGCATACGCTCCAATCACTAGGTATTACTACTCAATTTGGGTTCTACTGACAAACCCTTATGACTTTCCCTTATGCAGGATATGAAATTAAATATCCAGTTCTGCTAATACTTTTCTTGTACTCTTCCTTACAAGGTACCCTGAGTTCCAGTTAGTGCTAGATCCAAATCTGAGTAACTGCTTACTTTTGTTCTTTCAAAAGGAAAAGCATCAATTGATGGTCTCTTTGGTACAACCTTAGACCACTTTTTGCATATAGCACGCATGGTCTGCCCTAATTTAAGGCTGCAATCCTATACGTAGTTTCTTGGGAGTAAGGCTACTGTCCTCAATCAGATTCACACTGTAAATCTAGGTAACACCTCTTCCTACTTACAGAGTGGGCTTTTCCACCAGGAAGATCCCTCCACCACTATGCTTCTTTTATTTTGTTTAGTGCCTAAAGAGTTATGAGGATCTTAAATATTTATTTACTGCTTTATGATGGCTTCATTAATCCCAATGAAAATATTACCCTACTGGTATTTCCTAATTTGTAGCGATTCTTCTACTATAACCAACAACTGTCCCTCTATACACCAGGAGGGGGAGTATTGCCCTTCTGATGTTAAAAAAGGTAAAGGTAAAGGTAAAGGTACCCCTGCCCGTACGGGCCAGTCTTGACAGACTCTGGGGTTGTGCGCCCATCTCACTCAAGAGGCCGGGGGCCAGCGCTGTCCGGAGACACTTCCGGGTCACGTGGCCAGCGTGACATCGCTGCTCTGGCGAGCCAGAGCCGCACACGGAAACGCCGTTTACCTTCCCGCTAGTAAGCGGTCCCTATTTATCTACTTGCACCCGGAGGTGCTTTCGAACTGCTAGGTTGGCAGGCGCTTGGGACCGAGCGACGGGAGTTCTGATGTTACTGAACCCTCAACTCCCATCAACCCCAGGCATCAAGACCAATAGTCAGGGATGATGGGAGTTGTAGTCCAACAATATCTGGTGGACACAAGTTAGTCACCCATGCATCGTATCTTAAAGGAAAAGGCACTGAAGAAAGATCAGGGCACAAATTTAGTGTTCTGTCAGAACCCTTTTAAATATCTATTCTCAAGTTGGTAATGGGCTTACAGGAAATAGAATGGCATCACAAATTGCAACTCTAAAAACCTGGCTACTTCCTTGGTTCCTCGTAGCCCTTGACTTTTTGTAGACAGCCATGTAATCAAGTCGTTGAGCTTTTAGAAAACACTCAAGTGAAAACCTATCCCAATCACATATTTTTCAGGTAAATTCAACAGAAGAAAAATCTAAACAGGTAGGAAAAATGGCTATATAGTGTCATGTTTATTGCATGCAAAAGCCTATTTCAACGTCTTCATGCAACAGCATGCAAAACAAAAGTAGCAGCAGAGGAGGAAAAAGAGTTCAGCAAAGAATGCAGAGGGTCCAGGCAAACGCAACCAAAAGAAGCTTCAAATTCATACAAACCTCCAACATTAAATTGCTATGTCTTATATAAATGTTTTCACCATCTAGTCTCTTTGATCTTTTCTGTGAAAGTGAAAGAAAGGGGGGGAACAAACAAAAAAAAAGCACAAAAAAAATTAAAAGGTTGTTGTTGCAGGAATTTGCAAATCGGAAAACGAAAAAGGTTAAATTAATGTTCGGAGAGCTGTGATATGCCAATGGGGCGTAGGGTATGGAGCCACAAGATCATGTGAAGAATCTGAGGGAAATGAAAAGTTTTGCTCGTGAATCATGGGGAAATGTAATGAGTTCCCTTTAAAAAAACAGTCCCTAGGGCTTTGCTGGCCTATTTGTGTTGTGAGCGTTTTCTCAGTAAAGAAATGATTGCATACTTTCTGTGGAAGGCAATACATTTTGAGGAATACAGCTGCATGGGACATCAGAATGTCCTGTTGGGTTAAAATCGGTATTTATTAATATTAATAAATGATATACTTAAATATATGTATGCAATCTGAAATATTTTAATCTGTTCCTTCTTATATTACTTCTGCAGTCAAGCATTTTTCACTTCCTTAAATGCTGACTTTTCACAGTTCTCATGGATGGATGACTAGACTTTTATAAGGAGCCAAGAATTAAGTTGTTATCTGCAACATATAAAATCTAGTCCAAATCATCTGGACAGAGTAGCCTGTCTTATAAATTAACAACTACTGATTTTTTAAAAGGCACATGAAGCAACCAGGACACTGTCTTTTTAAATATGCATGAATGAGATGGTAATTTTGCTTTGATGGAAGTGAAGAAACAGCTAACCTTCCTCATTCTTATTGGTTCTTCCTCTTTTCCTGCACGCTGCTGTTTTGTGATAGATTATATAAAAAATGGGGAGAGGGAGGAAAAAATTGTTCATTTATTTATTTTGGAACTTTCATCTTTCAGCCTTAAAAATAAAAAATAAAATAAAGAATACAAGCAACCTAACCAGACAAACCTGATTTTGGTCACCATTTGTGGTGGGTACTGACACTTCGATATGCACTTTCCCCACCTACATTAAAAAAAAAAAGTGGCAAAACATTTTTTTGCTTTGTTAGTAGGGTGTTGGAAACAGGTTTGTTTCAAAAACAGCTATTCGTTTTTGAAACATTTGTAAGCATGCATTAAGTAACATGCAGATTTTAAAGAGTTACAGAAATAAGTGACACCATACCTTTACAGTGACAATTTGTTAGTTCACCATAACTTACTTTCAATTTAACATTTTATAATGTTTTTATAGATATTTTTCAGAAATAAAATATATAGAGAGAAATAAAATACAGTAAGAAAATAATTTTGGAACAAGTTCTAGATTCAATTTTCCTATCCACTCTCTGATCAAAATTAAGGGTTAATACATTTTAATAATGCTAATAATAATAAGAATAAATTATTTATACCCCACCCATCTGGCTGGGTTTCCCCAGTCACTCTGCACGGCTCCCAACAGAATATATATAAAAAGCGACAAAACATCAAACATTAAAAACGTCCCTAAACAGGGCTGCCTTCAGATGTCTTCTAAAAGTCAGACATCTCATGGGAGGGCGTTCCACGGGACGGGCGCCACTACTCAATACCAAAGATCCCAAAATTTACTTTAAACATGCCTAAATGCTTGCACACATCCAGTGTGTTTTTTCACTTATTCTCCCTTTGAAGACTGGAAAGAATATCACAACATACTGCCTAAACTCTCCCCCCACCCTGAACAGCTTGCCACATGCCCTGCTTCAAGTTCCTTGAGCATGTGGAACTATTTATTTTATTTGTATTCAGCTTTGGAAGGGCTGTGAATAAATACTACAAAGCAATCGAACTCAAAACATCATGCACATGATCATATAATAAACATCAATATAATCACAAATAACTAAGTAGTTGTCTAGTCCTTTTGATCTCCAGTTTAAGAGTAATATACGTAAAGCAGTAACTCTTCTCACATATTTAAGGAACAATCTAACTGTTCCTTAAAAGTTATATACTAATAGACATTTCGAGGGAGCTTTTGGAGAGGCTCCCTTGCAAGCCCCACTGGATATTTTTAGTATTAAAGTTTTTGTGTGCACAATCTGAAAGTGGACTCATGTGCTGCACCATAAACCAACTGTGAAACTCTCCCAAATTTTAAGTCTGGTTTGCAGAGAAGCATGATATATGTACACGGATATGCTCTTTCAGGTAGAGGAAAGAAGACTTAAACCCTACTATGCGAAAATCTAGCTACATGATCCTTTGGGATACAATGATTGAAATAAATGCACATTGTGTGGTGGTGCTATCAACTCCACTCGTTCCTATCTGTCAACTTATTGACTTTATCTGAATTACTCCTATTTCCAGATATACACACAAATACAGAACTGGTTCATGCTGTCAATTCTGGCTCCACTGAAAATGCCTTCTCAGCTGGTATTGCAATAGCTGAAAATGTATATCAATGGAGATTCTGGTTCTTATGTGACCATCTCCATACAAATCACTTGGAAAGTGCTGTAATGGAGATGAAAATGACCCTGAGAACTGGCTCTCAGATTTCCTGTTGGGTCATAAAAATGCCTTGCTGGAATTGACTCATCAGTGGGAAGCTAAATGCTCCACAGGACTCACAAGTGGAATATGATCAATGGAAAGGCCCATTCCCTGATATCATTGTATCTGGTGACAATGAATTATCTGCTAATTATGCAGTGTAAATCGTAGGGAGTCCTATTGTAGTGTCCTGAACTTGTTAGCAATCATAATCATTCAATGACCCACAAGTTCCAAAACTGAGAAAATAATTTCACACCGTTTCCAAAAACCTCTATTGCCTATTCCCCTCCCCTGATTATTCTTTAAGCTTAAAATACCCAACCTCTTCCAAAAGGCTTAAGAATTAATGCTACAAAGCCCTGCTCATTTCATTTGTCTTTTCCACTTTCTCCCAACTATAGGAACACAAGAACTATACCATATGGCCGTTAACTGAAGTCACACCAACAAACGAAGTGTATGTTCTACTGTACATTACACAAATATATGTAAGAGATGAGCAGAAAAATGCTAAAGTAGTCCTCTCCTAAGAAGCCTCTATCATGGAGGATTTATTTTCTTATATCATGTAAAGAATGACAATCAACCTGTGACTAGTTGTCAGCATAAAAAGAACATTAATTCAGGGAAAGCAAATAAAGTGACATTCTGTAGGTGCTGAAAGATTTTGAGTTCAAACCTCAGCAACAGTAAATGCACAAGCTCAGCTCAAGAATAGGCCTAATCACTGACCAGAATTAGTAGAATTGCAAAGGCAATCAAGCCATGTCATTACAAGTCATATTATCAAGCCATACATTTTGGTTTTGATTACTAGCAGGCCATAATTTTTAATAGCAAATAAGTCCCTATACACTCGTATAAAGTGTTGCATATCTTTGCAACAAGTGTAAAAATCAGAACTTTTCATGGAGAAAATAGATTGTACCTCTCATCACAATAGTGTTGTCACCAAGCCCAAAGGAAATCTGAGTACAGCCACAATTAATGGGACTTAAGAACAAAATTTTCTCCTTAACTCCTACAGATTTCAATGGGAGTAAAATATGTTTCACTGTTTTCAAATGCAGCACTGAGATCAAAACAAGTATGACAGAACAAGCAACTCACAAAGTCGCTTGGGACACCAATAAAGCCAAACTGATTGCAAATGCCACAGTGAATACCAGAGTAGACCCCTCTGACAGAGCACAGGCATTTTGGAAGGAACCCAAAGACTCTGTGTTCTCAGAAGAGCCAGAGGATGAGCAACTCTCTCCAGCTGCAGGTATGCAGAGTTGGAAAGTATAGTCATCCCCCTACCTAGGCAGAATAGTCAGGCAGGAAAAGAGAAAGGACTACTGGAAAGTATTGGTTACAAGGTTCAGATGGCATATTAGTCACAGTGGGAATTGTTTGGCCACTGAGGACAACTGTGACAAATGTTCAGCTTGAGCTTTCTCCTGTGTCAGGAGGCAGGGACAGGAGGGCTGGGCAAGTAGTGTAATCTGCCATTCCAACTCTAACATACGTCCAGAATACAGAACAAAGAGGAAATAAGGGTACACTTTCCTTGGTGAGCCAAGGAGACACCTTTACTGACTGCTTTTGGCAACTAGGTGTTTTGGACGGGCCCTGACTGAGATGAACATAAAGGATCCTTCAACCTTATATTTTTCTCACACACAAGCAAACAATATATAATTTAACACTGGTAGTCTAACATACCTGGGATCCTTCAGCAGGCTCTGTTTTGGTTTTCTCTGGCAGAGTTTGTTCGTGTTGTACCTCTTTTCTTTCCTTCTCAGCTTTAGTGACCACTGGCACCTTGCTTTCAGATACAACTGGAGGAGTTGGTTCAGTTACATGGCTCTGAGCAATAGCTGGTGCAGATGTAGGCCGTGGGCTTCGGTCTGGTGTAACCACTGCTACTGCTGAGTAGAAATATATTTTGATTTAGTGAGAGTGAGTGAGAGTGAGGCAAACCCCCAAAATCCGACCCCAAAGAATGAAAAAACCAGGAGGAAAGGAGTCACAGCAATGCAAAAGAAAGAAGTGCAAAGCAGCTGGCACTGGTTTAATGTGGAAGGCTATGTTTGTTTTTAGCATGTGTTGAATAAAAGTTAAGAAACCAAAATTAGATATCACTCAAGAGCCACACACTTAAAATGCTAGTTAAATCCACACTGTAAAAGCACTTGAACATTTCAAATGTTGTTTTTATAAAAACAGCTAATTGTGGTGTGAATAATCACCAATATTACAACAAAAGCCAGATTACTGCTGTTTACCTAATACCAATACACTCAAAACCCAAGACCCAAGAAAATATGAACTTGTTGACTATAAACATGTTTGTTTAAAATGGTGGACAGGCCTCAACACTAATGGCCCTTGTGATGTGACTTGCAATACTGCAGTTCTTTCCTGTGCTGTGAGGATAGCATCAAAAGCCCTAGGTTTTATGGGAGAATCTACACCACCTTTCTACAAAACCTTTCTTGGAAACTGGGTCAATGCTTGCATCAGGAGGTGACACAATGTGGACTCTTCCTACATGATATTGGGCTGCTGACATGTTTGCAGTGCAGGTGGGCACCGCACAATAACAATGTCAGAGGGCGCTAAGAAAAACTGCTAAGGAAGCAGGAGAATGTGCAAGTGCAGTACCACCTCCTGCCCCCAACACAAAACACATAAAATGCATTAGTATTAATTAATAGCACCGAGAAATTCTTATCAGCCCACAATTGTATATGTCCCCCCAGAAGAGCCATTGCCTTCACAAAAGACATTTTCAAAGGTTAAATTCAAATACCAAGTACATGTTTAATCAATTAAATATACTTAATAATCAAAAACTAAGCTACTCAAGTTAAAGTATGATCTTGGACACCAATCTATGTCTTGCACTCTTTATCATTAACTAGAAGCACTTTAAGTATGGTTAAGAAATTGTGAGCAGGCTGTAGGATCATGCACTTCCTCCTCTGCCTGTTAAGTTCTTTACGGATCCCAAAAGGCAGGAACCTTTTGTGTTTTCCCTCCACACTGTGGGCCTACTCTGCTACTACTGGAAGGTCATGCTTACCTACACTGATCATGCAATTTCTCTAGAGTACGTAAAGTCAAGGGAAAGGCAAACACCCCAGAGCATGCATTCTGCAAAGGTTAGAATGGCATTCAATCTACATACAGCCCTTTTCAAAACTGCTATCTATGGATGTTCCCTAACTTTCACAATGCTATTTGGTGCTTAAAGAATGATGGTAATTTAAATTCTTCTTTAACAGTTCTCAACAGAGCTGTTGCTTCTTTGAAATCTCATACCATTCTGTGAGAGTGCCATGCCACTAGTAAGTTTTTGTCACTGCAGTGAGCACTAGTGAATTCTTAGGTGGTAGAAGCAAGAGAGAGTGTTATTAACTACAAAGGAGAAAATATTAGCCACACAAGTGTGAAAAGCTATCACTGTTATACCTGACTCCTCCTGAACTGTTTCAAGTAATAGCGGTTTTTGTTCTAGATTCTGCACCACAATTGTTTTTTCTTCCTTCTCCTCTTCTTTTATTGGGCTTATGTCAAACTTTTCAAGAACATGTATGGCTAAAAAAAGTTATGCATTCATTTTAAAACTGTTAAGAATAAAAGGGAAAGACTACTAGGACTACATTTGCTGGCAAATCTTGCCTTGCCTGAATGCTAACCTTACAGAGTATTTATTATTCCTTATCTTAAGCTTTTAAATAAGATTCCAGTAATATGTTTCAATAAATCATGCACTACACAAAGACAGATACAGCATAAAATTGCTATTGATTTATTTAGAAAGGTTGCATACTTTTGTGTATGGTATGGTTAGTTCAGCGACTATCATGTGGGGGCTTATATTATTGATATTAGCCTTTAGGATCTTAATATTCTCAACGGGGGAGAAAGCAGAAAGGAATGTTAAACCACACTCATATGAGAAGCTGTCACACTTGTACCTGACTGTTTTTCTAATGATTCCACTAATTTTGTTTCTGGAACAGGAACTTTAAATACTTCAAACTTCAGCTCTTCCTCAGTCACTATTTTTTCAAAATTCTCAAGCGTATCTTTCGCTAGAAGAATTGCACAGTTAATAAACCGCCAGTAAGATTTCAATTTTTAAAACCCTCTAGGTTGTATCAAAGCTTTACTCAAAGCAGACCCATTTAAATTAATGGACCTACATAAGTTGTTGTCGTTGTCGGTGTTTACTGTTCATTGGATTTCTTACCTACCCTTCACCCTAAGGTTCCAGAAAATGCTACAATAATATAAAAATGCATTAAAAAACCACAGTTTTAAAAAATAATTTCAGACTAACGGTGTGGGTCCTAAAATCTCTCTCTCTCTCAGGTGTCAAAGGCCAGGGTAAAGAGCTGGAGCTTTAGCGTATGACAAAAGCTATACTGCGAAAGTGCCAGCTGCACCTCTGTATGGAGAGAATTACATAGCTTAGAGGCTGCCACGGAAAATGTCCTCACCTGGATCACCAACCTTCAAACTTCTGAGGGTGACAGAACTACCAAGGCAGCTGCTGCCTTTTGACAATCCTAACACTTGATATATTAGTCATGTCCATTAATTTCAACGGGTTTACTCTGAGTATTACTAGCACTGGATACAACCCTCCCTCTAAAATGCGAAAGTCCAATAGTCAGCCAACAGGCAGAGCTTTAAAATTTTTTTTACCTATATGAAGAATTTAGTGTATTAGTGGTACAATCATTGTGGTTATATTGTTCTTATCTACAACAGAGGCACACATCTGAAGAGAATACAGTTTGTTTAAAGTCACTTAAGAAGTTAGATCCCCATCACAACTCCACCACCTGCACACTAAAATAAGTACAAAGAGCATGCTTTTGTATCAGCTAAGATGTTGTTCTGTAGGAGGCCACATCTCTCAAGTACTTTTGTTCAGCCTTATAGTATGCAATGTTAATATTGTGCGCAAGAAATGATTCTCCAGTGCTCAAATAATAAAAAAACCCCCACTAGATTTCTAAAATGAATTCATGCAGAAAGAAATGTACAGGGATAAACCCTACTTCATTTGTATAAAGCTAATGAGGAGCTCCCAATACCAATAAGCAGAATGCTCTGACTAGATCCTGTTGATAAGAATATAACAGAATAACATGAAAGGTTAGCGTGAAGAAGCCAAACTGAAAACTAGTTCAAGACCCATTGTAAGTCTTTTCATTACGACAGAAATGTGCTCAGCTAACATAGCAAATGCAAATGTATATTAGATGAGAAGCTATGCAGTTTCTAAGTATCAGTTTTTGGGGAAAGTATTATGAAAAATTATATGTCTTTAGAGACACACTTAAGTTTTCGTAAGAAACTTAAGGCCTCATTAACATTAATTCTGAAACAACTGAAAGAAGCAAGTGTGTCCTATACACCTGGGAGAGTTTGAATACAATTTTAGGGTTGCAAATCTATTATTTTCCAGCACAGCAATTACAAAGATCTCAATCTGAGAATTCAGATGTGGGGTGGTGAGGGGCAGGAGTGGGGGGAGACAGCTCCATCTCAAGTTCTTTTCTTTCCATTCCATTATGTTGCAATTTGATACAGCATGAGCAAATATTTGTATTTCAGTCACCTGACAATTAATTCAAAGTGAGAAGCATTTTTGCCAGCCCTCTGAAATCTATGCTACTGCTGATGCAAGGGCTTTTACGGAGTGAAGGACAGAAGTGGCCAACTGTGTTCTGACCAGTTAAGACATTGTTTTATTTCTTTGAAGGGGGAAAAACGGGTGCCAGAACATACGAAGCATTTCAGATTCAGATAAGATGTCTCAGCTCATGAAAGGATAGAAAAGGCACCGCAGAGGCAAGAAGAGAGAGAGAATCAGAGCTACCCACAGCGATACCTGGCTTCTCTCGAATTTGTTCCACAGGTTCTGATTCCGGAACCCCAACCAACACCACATCCTCCTGCTTCTCCTCCTCTACGGGTTTGAACTCTATTTTTTGAGAGCCACGTTTAGCTGAAGAAATTGTGTACATGTTACAGAATATTCAGGATATAGTATATATAAAGAGAACATTGTAGATTTTAGTCTGGATATAATTATTGTTTGCTCTTATTCTTTGTTGTTGGTTCTTCAATTTGAGTTTCAGCAGGGCAATGATGGAAAGTGGAATTTTGCCTCATTCAAAAATAGTTTACAATTTTATCTCAAATTGTACAGCTGTTAGTTAGAATTAACAGGATGCATTCAAACGCACACCATTTAATTTGGGGGGATAATATAAAAGCTACCTTTATGAACGTTCAGAATTTTAGAGTCCAGTTCCTACATTATCTCATCAACTTGGGATTCATTACAATCCCAATCATGCCTTGTCCCATGTAACCTTGGACCAAATGTGAAGAGCCTATGTTGTGACTTCTCCTCACACCAGCATCAATGCTCTTAGAAACCGGCTCCTCACATTTCCCAACAGAGAAGGAATGGAGTTGCAGTGGCACCCATGTGTTCAGGATGTGGTAAGAACTGTGTATAAGTTACTGAGTTCTACGTTCTTTCTTCCCCTAGGGCATATACGATGGACAACCTTGTAAAACAAATTAATTTAATAATTTTTAAAAGAAAACACCACTTGATAAAGAAAAAACCTTTAAATGAATATGAGCATCTGAAAACCAAATTAAACTGAAGCTCTGAGCAGAATCTGTAAACAGAAAATCTACAGATTAAGACTGGTATAAGGGGGTCCCTATAGCAAAGCTCCCGTTGCTCGGTCCCAGCGCCTGCCAACCTAGCAGTTCAAAAGCACCCCTGGGTGCAAGTAGATAAATAGGGACCGCTTACTGGCGGGAAGGTAAACGGCGTTTCCGTGTGCTGCGCTGGCTCACCAGATGCAGCTTTGTCACGCTGGCCACGTGACCTGGAAGTGTCTCCGGACAGCGCTGGCCCCCGGCCTCTTAAGTGAGATGGGCGCACAACCCTAGAGTCGGACACGACTGGCCCGTACGGGCAGGGGTACCTTTACCTTTTTTATAGCAAAGCAGGGAAGTTTAGATACTCACCGCCATCAAGACTTCTAGAGGCCCGTTTACTTGCTGTCCGTTCAAACTGTGGTGCAGGTCTATCAATCAGGGCACTAGCTTGTCTTGTCTGTGCCTGTGTCCGACCACTGTATCGGAATTTAGAACCCAGTACCAGGAACCTGCTCTTGGGAATTGCTTCAGTGGATGTTAGCCTAAAATGCATGTGAATATTTCCACATTACTCATCTCCAACCAATAAACCAATAATGACAAGTCAAATAAGATCCAGCGTGGGGGCAATTATTTGCATAAGATAAACCCATAGGAACTTAAATTGTATGAGTTAGACCATGGTGGCCATCACAACCCCAATGGTGTCACCAAGTGCTCCCCCTATATTTCCCCCACATATGAGTACCATTCACTCATATGAGAAAAATAAACAGCTGCACTTAGGGTAGCAAGCCATGGGGAAAGGCCACAGCTCAGCGGTAGAGCAGATGTTTTGCATGCAGAAGGGCTGGGAGGAACTGCTACCTGAAACCCAGGGGAACCACTTCCTGTCCATGTCAACAATACTGAGGAAGGTAAATAGTCTGCTTCAGTATAACGCAGCTTCCTATAATCTTAGCATTACATTGAATGAAGACAATGACTCATCCAAGATGGTTCTGAGAAAGCCATGTGGAGATCTGAACCCAGGTATCCCTGGTTCATCCACCCTACTGTACCACAGTGGTCCTCAGTTAATGAAATCCCTTTATGAGCACTCATTCCTATTACCACATTCTCATTTCTTCATTCTTCCTATGGTGAAAGTTGACTACCTACATTTTATTACGCATTTGCAGGTTAATGGGCTTAGCTCAGTGGCAGAACATTGCTTTGCATACAGAAGGTCCCCAGAATGTCCAGGTAGGGTTAAGAAAGACTCTTGCCTGAAACCCTGGAGAGCTGCTGCCAGTCAGTGTAGACAATGCTGAGCTAGATGGACCAAGGGCTTGACTAGGTGTAAGGCAGCTTCCTATGTTCCTGTTTTCCTGTCTGAACAATTCTGTGCAAATTAGAGGCTTCCTTCGCAACTCCTGGCAATGTATACCAACAACTGGAATAAAAACTTACAGCTTTTGCGCGCGCGCGCGCGCACACACACACACACACACACACACAATTTGTCATATTGGATGGGGGAAAAGAAACATACCTGAAAAATGTATGATGCTCAACACAAACTTTCCACAGTTTCTTAGCTGCCCGATAACTAGGAAGCTTGAATCCAATTGTACTTTCATATTGTTCATGCTGCAGAGAGCAACAGTACAGAATAAGTTTCAAACTATGTTCGAGGACAGCCTCACATAAAGTGCATTGTAAGAATCAAGCCAGAAAACTATCACGTTAGACCTCTGTCCACTGCAATACAATTTGGACAATCTGGAGAACAGTTCTTCTGCTCTGTCAATATTTTTCTTAGACATAAGTCAGATTTTTAAAAAAGGAATGAAAATAGTATATGAGTCCATAGCCTACCTCGCCAGGTCGAATTTTGATAAAAAAGCTGCTGCGCTTGTAGGAAATCTTCAACACTTTGGGCCAAGGGAAACGGTTGATTCTCAATTTATCTTTGTAGACAAGAAGGCCACTGGAGCAGACTCCCAAAGTAATATCCACACCTTCCAAGTCCTACAAAAGCAGAGTTCGGAACACACTTCACACATGTTGGCAAATCCACTTTTCAGCATTCAAAGCACTCGCCCTCTATGCCCCTTACTCATTTATCGGGCCCCAGAATTCGTAGTGAGATCTTCTGTTACTTTATTTTTATGATGCTACTGAATCTGTCTCCCCACTTTTCAAACATTCAACAGCCAGAAAACACTAACTGCTTAAGCATTCCTCCCAACATGTATTTGCAGACATGACAACTCTTTCCACTACCTCTTATGTGAAAAACGCTTCTCCCTAAGTGTCCTGTACTGCATTATCTTCAAACAATTGATTATCAGGGGGACCTCTGTAGGTCCTGTTACTGAGAATCACTGTCCCAGACGGAAGAGCAATGACAAAAAGGCCATGAGCAAGTTTATTTATAAGTCCTAGGGTAGAAAGAAAATTGTACTTAGGCTATACACACTACCAGGAACTGACTTTTCTACTCACAAAAATAGAAAGATTCAAGTGGAAATAGAATAGATGAGTGAAAAACTTCCACCCCCGGACAAGCTAATTTTTTTTTAAGAAACTAGGATACTAGGACACCCAGCAGTCACAGTTGTGCTCTGATTATTTAATGATTGGCTCAGTACAAAAGCATCAATACTAAAAATCTTTCCAGTCGAGTTTTTATTGACCATCTCATTAAGATTATTCTGCCACACAGTGACAAATTTAGATCTTTTCAGAAAATACAACTCACCTTTCTGAACCAAAGGCTACTCAATGCACAATCAACTATAAAAAAACCAATTTTAAAAAACTTTATCTAGCAGCATAATACACACAGGCCAATAAAATACATATAATATGCTCCATGCCCTATAGCAGGTCTCACAAACTCAAAGCAACTGGGTATGATGGAACATCTCCTGCAGAATCCAAGAGATTTTAGAGCAATGATGGGTTCTAATGAAACTCCCTCCTTTGGGTAGAGAAGAATGAGGTTGTACAGGCTAGCAATCAAATACATGTCTACTCAGAAGTAAGCCCCATTGAGTTTAATGGAACTTACTCCTAAGTGTGTACAGGATTGCAGCTTATGTATTTGTGGGACAGTCACTCAGATACACTACAGAATGAAATTGGACAGCAGATTCCATAGGAATGAATTCACCCCAAAGTATCCAACAGACCCTTATCTATAAATTGAAAGATATACTGATTTGGTTACTATGTGGTTGTAAACATCAAATACATAGCAACCATTTTTAAATGGTCAAGAATGTTATTTCTGAATGAGGTATGAACTCTGTCATCTGTAGGGCGGACACCACATTTCAGGCTGTAAACCCATTCCAAGTATGATTAGATTAACTAGATCACATGAGGAATTCCTTGGCTTCAACCTCTGTTGCAATAATCCAAAACTGTCATGCCTAGCCATGAACCAGTACCATACAGATAGTTCTCAGAGAACAAACCCAACACCCTATACATCAAAGATATAGGGGAGGAGGCAAGATCCATTGGAACAAGTGCTGAGGATCACCTGGAAGGAATCTCCAGAGGGAGATTTGCTGAAGAACCATCAGTGTTGTTAGAGGAGGAAGTAAAATCCCACCCCCAGCCCTTGAGAATGCCAGTGCCAAAAGGTCCAAGTCCAGGTTGAAGAGTAACAACACAGCATGTGTCTATGGATCTAGAACAGAGGTCTCATTGAGAGCAAGCAAGACTGGAAACAACAGCTGTGGTCCAGGAGGCCACTGTCCATTTGACTTGGAAACAACATAGGTCTCTGGTTTCTTGAACCTGAACCTAGTCTCCTCTGCCTGCTGTGTTGTATCCTTGCCTGGATTTGACCTGGGACTGTTACGTGCCTTTGTCTATGGATTACAGTATGGTCCTTTGCTTGTTTTGGACACTGCTGGAACATCATTCCAGCTCTCCTTCATTAATATCTTGGGAGAAGACTTATACTTCTCTGGATGGGATCCTAGACCCTGAGGGGCACCTACTGGAACATGATAAAAACCAAGAACCCTCCCTACTCACGGTATTGAGGAGGAGGGAGAAGATGACAACCAAGGGCTTTGCACATTAAAAGTAAAAATATTATGATATGAAACAAGTATTTTCTTCTACCTTGGCGTGATGAAGATCAACTCCATACATAGACAGCTTTTTGGCATTCTCAAGAAATTCCAGATCAGCTTGAGCAGGTGTCATACATCTACAGAAATATAATGGAAAATGATACAGCAAGCCCACTATTTGCTTATTTCGCAGGGTGGTTTTAAAAAAACAAATCAATAGCAGATACTACAGTACATGCATTTATCAAAAGAAATAAAAAAAATGGATCCTGCAAATCTCTTGTTTTTTTAACCCTTCAGTGAGTTCTTTAGCACTAGAATGGTAACTTTCTAAAATAATAATTATTATTGATATACAACATTCTAGGAATTATCTATTTGCTACAGATTCTCCAAAAGAGGTTAGCTTGCAAGAATGTGGTTAACAAATTAAACTAGACAAACTAAAGAAGACAGAAACATATGGCCAAAAGGTACCAGAAAAATGTATCTCAGATATGTGTACAATAAAAACACTGGAACAGTTGGGGAGTAAAAAAAAGTAATAAATCAACAAATCAGTTAAGGTTACAAACTTATGCATGGCTTCCTGGGAGTGAACTTCACTTAACACAGTGCCAGTTTCTTGAGTAACCAGGCTTAGAACTAAGCTGCAGCTCTTGAAAATTAAAAGCAAGGGCATATGAAATCACTTAAGGGAAAAGACATGCTAGGGACAAGTAAATATGGAGTTATGTGAACTTATGCTCAATATGAGGCTGTTTTCTGTCTTGAACTTTACTAACAAACTTCATCTCAGTGGTACAGCAAGACAGCGCTTCACAGATGCTTTGTTTAAATGTTTAAACCTCCCACCTCCTTTCTAGTCTTGCTGTGTATTCATGGAACAGAAGGACTGGTGTATTTATAGAAGTTATTCCTAACAGTATGAGACGTCTCTTCCAGCCATATGGTGCATTGAGAATTGAGCCACAATCTATTACTGAAAAGAGTTTCAAAATACACTTCAGGGTAACTGTAACAAGTATTGTTATAAAATATTTCTTACCAAGCTCAAGTATCAAAGATGCTTAGAAGTGAGTCTTAAATCACACCCAGTGCGAAGTTCCATGTCATTTTTTTATGTTAATTAAACATAAGTCCAATTGAAGATCCATACACAGGGGTTTGAATAATTCACAACAGTAGCACAATTAAGGGATGCTTCACACATGAAATGTTTTGGACAAAAGATAATCTCCAATTGGGGGGGGCGGGGCATGTTTGAAGGCCTTGAAAGTATTTTGCAAATGTCGGAAGCTACTTCACAGAACAGGTTTCAAATACTTGTACACGTCTTCACACTTGCACGTTCTTCAACTTTATCTTATTTTAATTTTATTTTTTTTTGGTGCATGCAACTTAGAACAGGAAAAGCCAATATGGACCCCTCCAGATGTTGCTGCCAGCATGGCCAATGGTCAGGAATAGTGGGAGTTGCTGTCCAACAACGTCAGGAGGTCACTATACTGACGATCCCCGACTTACAAGAAACAAATGAAGAAAAATCTGCTTCCTGACCCCTGCAGCAGTCTCAATGCTAGTCATCAGGCTTAGTTTCTGGGGTACCAATTGTTACTGGGGACCTGGATTTTTGCACCCCTATTCACAGTTTTCTTTTGCATAGATCCTATTTCCCTTTAAGGTTATATGAAATTTCTTTTTAGCATATTAATTTTATTATTTCAATTTCTATTCAGCCCCTCATTGATCCAAAATCCCAGGGAGGTTTACAATATGTATCATAAGCATCAATAAAATGAAGCTAATAACAATGTAAACATTAAAAAGTCATACAAAAATGCTAAATTTAAAATTACCTATAGGTCTTATGTAGTTCCATGACCTTGTCTTCCAGTTCCTTTGTCTGATTTGGGGCCAGCTTAAATTCACTGACATAATCTGGGCTATGAAGATCTGGGTCAAAGTCTCCTAGTTCTGACTGGATTGTGTAAGAACCCAGCAAAGCTAATGTAGCAAAGGAGCAAGGAAGCCGTCCATTGAGAATGTCTTTTCTTAGCTGGAGACACAAATAGTACCTACAAAGGAGGAAAAGAAAGCCTCAGAATGCGGAATTCAAATTATGATGACAAAACAGTGGACATTGGTGCTGGCTAGCACCACAACAGTGTTCTTCATTAGAAATATGTTAGTGTGCTTCTCGCTTGGAACAGTCTACCCCTACTTTCATATGACTGCAAATTCTACTAGGCCATATGGACAGGGAACCCACATGAATAAAGTATTGTTTGTCTGTATTTAACATAGACAACAACAATCAGGCGAGGATGCTCATACTACACAATCTGGAACAGGCACTTGGTTATCACTACATAGCATAACACTCAGTCTCTTTTCTCCTTTGTTATTTACAGCTGACTGATAGCAGAAAAATAAAATAAGTTCCTCAACAAGAAAATAACACTGGACCTGTATAATGAGCAAGATCCTATATCCAATAAAATGGAAGATGGGATACAGAAGCCTCTGGGTGTACAAATGGAGCGGACACTAGGTGTGCAGGGCAGCCAGCACCATATTCTTTTCCCAGGGGTTGATGGATTCTTCAGGTCCCTGACTGTTGCTCTGCAATTGTGCCTCCTAGCAATGAAACTAGCCTCTCAGGTCTGGGCTGGCCCTTGTACACAAATTACTCCTGTCTAAGAGGTTCCCAATGAATCCTGGTTACATCTGGTAGAGGAGATCACACCTGGAGAGGGAACCCTCTTGAGTTCTGCAGCCAAGCCGCCAAGCCACTCAGCCTCCTCCTGCTACCTTTTAGCCACCACGCCATCACCCGGAAAGTGCAAGATCCAGAGATACTTTCCCTAGCATGGGACATGGACCTGCAGATCCAACAGTGCAGTCAGAGGTATGCCACTGAGCACCTGTTCTTTCCAGCACTCATGTGAAAGACTGGATATCATCCATTGTTCATTGCATGTTTAGAGCTTAAAGAGGTTTACAGTCTTAAATTTCTCATGCTCACAACTGCCTTTTTACAGGCCAGTTTTCCCCATTTTTTTAAAGTTGGAAGTATGAATGGGTTTGTAAGCTAGTATAAAGAATGGAGTTTGTTTTTTAAAGAAGGTATTGTTTTTACAGGGACACAATCTATTTCCAAGTTCTCTAAAATGCTCCACTGAGTTCCCTTATTACCAGACATTAAGTCAGTCATGTTACTAAGTTGACAAGCAATGTAATAACTCTTTGAATTTGGGATTCCCTGTCATTAGTTCTACATACATATACACAGGGTTGTAACTTTTTTACTGATTTTACTGTTTTATCTTTCATAAGAAATTTTGAGGAGGTTTTTTTACAATCAAGTAGTGTATAAATTTAATGAACTAAATAAATAATAAATATTCAAAAACAGTGTATCACAAACAGCTTTTCAAACACCTCTCTTTTCCAAAGCTGTTTGTCATGCGTCATAATGTAGCTTGTCAAACAGAAATGCAAGTTTTAGAGTCCTTAGGCTTCTGGAACTAAGCACACAGTTCTTTGAATCCTGATGAGTATTTATCAGTTGTTTTATCCTATAATTTCATTCATTATTTGTCACAATTATATCCTGCCTCCCATTACACTTTCCTAAATTACAACATTACTTGATTGTTAGCTTTCCTAAGAGCACTACAGACCTTGTTATGTCCTCTGTCAGCTGTGCTGGATCCGGAGGATAGAACTTGACATTGAAAGTGAATTCCCATGGGCCTCCTGCAATTAAAACCAGATTTGTTGTGAGTTTCCCTTTATAATATTGCTTTCAAGTAATATTAAATACGCAATATAGATATCATGAGATAAAAATAAACACAATGAATATGACATTAGGAACACAGTCCCACTGGTATGTCTCACCTTCAACAAAGCAATGGTTCCCTGACATCCTTGGGATCTCCAGGTAGGACTGGGAAAGACTCCCTTCTGAAATCTTGATGAGCCACTGACAGTTGGCATAAACAATAGCTAGATGAGCTAGGTGGACTAATGGTCTGACTCAGTGTAAGACCATTCTATGTGTTCCTCTAGTGCAGGGGTCACCAACATGGTACCTACAGACACACCTGCAGAACTCCCTTGGCACCCATAGGTTTTCCTCCCCCTGCTGAAATAAGTCTTGAAAGAAACATTCTATTGTAGCCACCCCCTCGTTGATGAATGAGACACAAGGACACAGATATTAGGTTAATGTTATTGGGCAAATTTAGGCCACAACTTTATTGGTTACAGAATGTGAGCAGTATTGGCTTAGGCACTGGAATTGATCGGACTATATCTGACTCCTGCCTGTCACGCAGGGAGTCCTGTAAGGGTCAACCACCAGTAGGGGGAGCTCGATGAAGCCCTCCCCCCCCCCCGCCAGCAGATTGGCTGGCTGGATCTATGATGCGGCTGGGACCTCCAGGTGACGAGGGACTTGGAGTTGGGAACTGGAGCAGGACTTGGGAACTGGAGCAGATTTATCATCCCAAGATAAAGAAAAGTTAAATCAGTGGTGGGTAACATCCAGCCTACAGATCTAATCAGGCCTACCAAACCTCTCAGTTTAGTCCATCAGGCCATATTGGGTGGACCACACCCAGCTATCACTCACGAGACATCAAATGTAGGGAGTGCACACCTGATTTTTCCTTTGCAGCAGTGGCTTTCATTTGGCACTGTTCAAATTTGGTGCTGGATGCAAGCTGTGTTGACAATGGGCGTTTAAACCAGAAGTGACTTGCAAGTCCACCCTTAATTTTCAATGATGTTGCTATATTCTAAATTTAAACAATTCCTACTTTAAAAAACATAACCTATACAAACTGTCCTCCTGCAGAAAAGCCACAGTTTTATTAAAAGAAAAACTACATAATATGGAAAACAGAGGACTTGCACTCTGTTTAAATTTGTCCTGATCTATTCTATCACCCTTACATGAACTCCAGCAATGCTGAGTGCTTCTTTTGATTGCATGCCAAGGCTATAAATATCTACCATTTCTTTTATAAAAAACAGACTTGAGCCACTTACCATGAACTTGTTTTTTTATCTCTTTGGCAGCATCCAGCCATGTCTGCAAGAAAACAGTAGCAATTAGTCATATACAGTCTGACAACAGTTGCAAAGAATATGGCCTGAAAATGTACTGTCACTGAGTTAAGTAGCAACCATCATTGGATGCCAATTGGGTTATCTTAGATTGCAAAAACACTGCATATAGGATTAATTAAAATTTGATCTTTGGGGGCACTGACATAATCAATAGATTAGGCATTTAACTATGGACAAGCAGCCATGGTTTTATTTAGGCACAGTTAATTTTTCTCTGACAGCCAGACTACAACAAACATTAAATGTGGGTTTGCAATTAACATGCATGGTTTTTTAAAATGGTTATTCAAAGCTACTTGGGGGTTGATGATTATTGGGATTGTAGCAGGCGGGGAGGGTAATCTAATCCTTTTTTTCCATGCTGTAGTCATGAACAAAAAACCAAAAAACCCTCTCCTCTGAAGTTGCTATGTGCATTGGGAGGAAATCTTTCATTGCCACCAAAGGAAAATTTCCTCCAGATACAAATACAACTTCAGAGGAGTGGTTCTATCAGGACCACAAGCAGGAGAAGAAAGGATTAAACTCCCCAACCACCACCATCTGTGGCAATCCGGACAATTACCAGTGAAATGGATGGTGCCATTTTTGCTTCACATTGAGTTATTATATAGTACGGTATTTGAAAAACTCATTACATAAAAGACACAGAGCTCTAGTCCAGTGTTTCCCAACCGGTGTTCCGCGGCACACTAGTGTGCCGCGAGACGTTGCCTGGTGTGCCGTGGGAGGGAGGCGGGCGCTTTCTCGTCCGCGCCCTGCAGCGAGAAGGGCAGCGCAGCGCCGCAGAAGAGGCCCAGGAGGCAGCAGGCGCCCAGCGCGCGCCCGAGTCCTGCCCAGCTCGCCATGTCCGCCCGCAGCATTGGCGACCCGAGCCAGGCTCCGCGCGCGACGCCCGTCTTATGGCGCGCGCCTCTGCCGAACGCTCAGCCCCAGCGCGAGCGGCTTAGCAACGCCGTCCAATCAGGGCGCATCTCGGCTGGGCGGCCGCGGCATTCTGGGAAATGTAGTCCTCGGGCAGCAGCGGCATTCTGAGAAGGCGCGCTTCTTCGCTGCTGCGCCTTTTCTTCCTCATTCCTTCTTTGCTGGCAACGCAAAAAGAGGCGGAGGAGGAAGAGCTGCTGGAAATGCCTGCGTGGGCATCAGTGCGCGCAGGAGATTTAGGCCGGGTGGGGTTGTTAGAGTCAAGATTTTATTTTGTTTATGTCCATCTTGCTGTTCGTGATACTAAACTACTCTTTATAGATCTCGTTATAACTTGTGTGGGGATTGCTTAATTTCGTTGTGGGCGCTTTGATACGGTTTCTTATGAGTGCATTTGGGTAATTATGTAAATATTGCCATGTCGTAAGCCGCCTCGAGCATGGTTTTTAACTATGGAAACAGCATGCAAATGACGATGATATCTAGGGAGGTTTCAAAGGCTTTGTAAGCAGAGTGAAGGAAAGAAATCCAGATGTGATTGTTACGCATTGTTTTTTGCACCGTGAGGCCCTCGTAGCCAAGACTTTACCAGCAGACCTAGTTCATGTGTTGGATGATGTTGTGCGCATGGTAAACAGGCCCAGGTTGCGCACTGAATAAAGTATTTTATAATTTTTCATATTTCTGTTTACTTACTATTTCATAATAAAGTAATTATAAAATACTATCTTTGTGTTTATTTGATTCCTATTAAAGAGAGTTACTTTATATATAGTCAATATAGGCACAGAGTTAATTTTTTAAACATTTTCTAATGGTGGTGTGCCTCGAGATTTTTTTCATGGAACAAGTGTGCCTTTGCCCAAAAAAGGTTGGGAAACACTGCTCTAGTCCATGAAAACATAGACATACCTATGCTTTTGATGAATAAAAACTAGCCTAAATCACCCCCTGGCAATAATAAAAAGTGGCAAATTAAAACAAATTAAGAACCAGCGGAACCCAAACCTTACAAAATAAAACCTATTTACTTGGCAAGGAAAACGTAGCTAAGATGTTGCCCAGTAGGCCTCCCTAGGAAGAAAAACAAAGCTATCTTTCCATTGGCAGCATTTGGAAGTTCCCAGTTCAGTCACTAAGATTACTATTCTATGGCTGGCAACTGGAACTGGGTGCACATCTGGTCTTCCTGGCTCACAACCATAATATTTCACTAATATGAACTCATACAGTAATCTTGAAGATTGACATATATAAATAATCTCTTACAAGATGCTTGGTGGGGCTCCAAGTGGTTCAAAGTTCTCTGAATTTGCCTCACTTAAACAGCTTACTGACAGAATGTGAGTTCAAAGTTATTTCTGCCATACTACAGCATTAGGCAAGTTAGTAATTAGGAAAATGAACATCCATGTAGCTGTAATTGCTTCTGGAAAGTGTCGTTAAAAAAAACCCTTAACTCGAAATATCTTTTAGGAACCAGTTATTTCCACACGGTGTCTGCATACAAAGCCATGGTTAATGGTTTATCATGAACACACAGACCGCTCCCATTTTGCTCCTTGCCAGTGCTCAGGAGCAACAACTATGACTCTTGGCTTAGTGTTGCATCCAAACCAGGAATCGAGGTTTGTATCATTAAAACAAACTATCATTAGCAAGTCAAGACGAAACCTTGGCTTCGGACCTTGGTTGGTTTGGAGTGAAACAAATCACAATCCCTGGTTCAGATGTAGCGCTTGTGATGTAGTGCTTGTGATATAGCACTTGTGATATTTTTGCTCCTGCTAGTTAACTTGGGGGGGGGGTGAGAGAAAGAAAGAAAGAGAGAGAGAGAGAGAGAGAGAGATGGGGGCGGGAAGAGATCAAAGCAGGAACGATTTGCATATTCATGGTAAACCATTAACTGTGGTTTACCACTATGTGTTGAAGTAGCCAATTTGTCAGCTGCAAAGTTTATGCTACTTCAAGTGCTTTTCTGGTCACCATTAAAAAAAACAGCCTTGATTTTGTGATTACAACATAATATGGCGGTTCGGTGGACTGTTTATTTAATTGGGCCATACTTTTACATGTCCCTGTAAAACCTTGGGCACAGCTTATGACTGTGAGATCTTATACCACAAATCTGTGCTCAGACTACACAATAAGCCAAAACACGGTTTAACTGCTACACCAAGGGGAGGGGAGAAGCAAAATGGGTGTGATTCCTGGGAGCCAGAGTGCATTCATGCTAAGCCATAGCTTGGCTTAGCATTATGTAGGATGCAGCCTTGCTGTCTTTAGAAAACACTTTTGTTTCTTCTGCCTATACTGTGGTTTGTTCAAATAGTGTAAATATAGTAAATACATTAATAGTGCAATCCTATAAATGCCTGATCAGAATTTAGTCTTACTGAGTTCAGTTGGAATGACTTCCCAGTTGTTATTATTATAAAGAATTTAGCCTCTGCAAATCAGTTACTCAAAACTGCTAAGCATTTACATTTTGATAATAGCACTTCGGCTCTTGATACCAGGCAGTACAATATTCCGGTACTGTGTACAGAAACTAGAATGAGGTTACCTGTTTCATTTTCACGTGACTTAAGCAGGATTTAGAAATCAGGTCTAGTGAGGTGAAAGAATAGCCTACTTATCCCTTAAGCTCATCTTTCTTAGCCCACAACATTTTACTCTACATGTAATTGGTACAGTTATGGTTAGGTTTAATATGAAGTACTTTGCCATCATTCTAATTGAAGTGTTACAGAACCCACACAACTGAGCACAAAGGCCATTCATATTAACTGTTGTGGATCTGCAATTTTGCAAGCCAGGCAATTTTTTTTAGAACATGCAAATGCTTATGCTGCAACTGTTGGCTTTACACAGCAATTTAAAAAAAAATAAAAATCCAAACACGGCCGTACAGTCTCTGAATGCAATCATGCATTCATAAAACTCATTCTGTCTGACTTAATCAAAAAGACAATGAGGAGTCTGGGTAATTAATGATACATTTATCCTTTTATTATGTCAGGAATCAGTGGGAAATAATGCTCTCTTACAGGAAAGCATTAAGTTCTACAGAAACTCTTCCAGTGCTTCAAAGATAAACTATTAACTTTTGCTCTCTGGATCACAGTGTGGGGGAAAAATCCCTTTCTTGGAAATAAATTATTTCTCACATACAAGAACAAAAGATGTTATTGCTGCACACAGTACTATATACATACATACATACATACATACATACATACGATAAGCTCATTAGAGTTGCACATGCAGCTGTTGCATACCTGCCTACAATTCCCGTATTTGTTCAAATGACCAACAAGAACTACCCATGAATATATGCCTTCTGTCATTGACAAAAGGGGCATGGAGAGAATGGAAGTATGAGGTGTTGTCCTCAGTGTTTACTTCAAGTGCAGGAATCAACCTAAGATCCACCTTCAGACTTCTACATTTTGCCAGCAACATCAAGCTCACAGGTAAAGTAAATGGGTCCTATAATTCCTTTATTTGTACTCATTAGATCTGTGGTGATATACATAACTTGATCCAAGATTGCCATGAAAAAGACAGTTACAGATAGCTAGCCGTGTTGGTCTGCCATAGTCAAAACAAAACAAAATCCTTCCAGTAGCACCTTAAAGACCAACTAAGTTAGTTCTTGGTATGAGCTTTCGTGTGCATGCACACTTCTTCAGATTCTTCAGGTGTATCTGAAGAAGTGTGCATGCACACGAAAGCTCATACCAAGAACTAACTTAGTTGGTCTTTAAGGTGCTATTGGAAGGAATTTTTTTTTGTTATGAAAAAAGACATTTTGATTAGTCATAATACAGCCATCTTCAACTATAGGTGCTCTCTTCCAGGAGTCTATCTATGGGCTGTGTGTCTCTTGGACATCCCAGAATATCATGTTTAAAGAGTCATCTACATCTTAACCATAATATTTCCTACTCCATTTGCAACACAATGGGGCCTCCAGTTTTAATGCCATCATTCAGCACTGATCGGATCAAAATCTCCAAGTGACATTAAATTCTACAGCACAGGCTTAATTGGATAAGAATGAACAATGCAGAATGCCTCCACAAAAGATGTCTCTCCTCCCACTTCAAGTACAGCTTTGCCCTGCAGAGGCATTTCCAAAACAGTTGGAGAGAGATGCTGTCCACGGTACTGACTGTCGAGAAAATCCTTTATGTGTGGAGCATTATGCGGTTTCTGGATATTTTAGCACCTTCCAGTGTTAAAGCTAGCTTGTGCAAACTTCCATCAGTATGAAGTCAGACTAGAGAAGTAGGTATTACCTTTCTTTTCAATATGCATTTCAAAGTTTTATTTCTGTTTTCCCAATACAATTCCTTCTTTAATTAAATGCTTTAACATACAATCCTAAGCAGGTGAACTCTCTGTTTTTGCATTCCACTTACCTTGGAGCTTGGGGTATCCCAGATGGCCAGTCCAAAGTAGTCTTCTTCCAAAAGATTGAGGTGATCACATACTTTCTTAAGAAGATCCTGGCCTTTGGCATGTTTCTGCACATGAACACAAATCTGTCATATGTGGTCACTTTTGCTTTGTACATTCTAATGTTCACATCCACAAAGTTATTGTATACAGTATGTCTACCTTCCTTAGGCGTTGACTTATACATCATTAGCCCTTAAAATGAACACTGATCACTTTCAGATTGTTTCATTAAGATGGCTCACTTGGATGCAAGGAGAAAAAGGATATTTTGGCAGAAGAGAGACCTCATGCCGCTCAGGAAAATATCTAGGAAATTCCGTCCATTTTAGGAACATTACTTTACCAAATGCAGGTTCCCCAAACCAGGGATACTGTAGTGATGCAAATGAAGGAGTAAAGGAAGCCTTTCCTCCCTAACTAGTCTTGCTTCTGGTTTTGAATGGTTGGTGGGAAGGGAATGAAGCACTAATGAGTATCTCCTGCAAATGTACACATACTTACTTGCCTTATAAAAGCAAAACAGAATTGAGAACCTAATGGTCCCCTCGTAACGTCTGTTCTGTTTGACTAGTCAGCTCTTCTCTTAGAAAGTAGAAGGTCCCCAAACTCCTGTTCATATTTATTTGATATGGTGGAAAGTAAGATGCAAGTTTGTGGTGAGGGAGTAATTCAACTTAACCAGGTAACAGGCAGGTGAATAAACAGCCTGTTTAATTTAACCAGCAGTTCGCTCTAAGTTTGTACATGTGTGTTTGGCTAAGAGCCAAACCAATAATGTCCCCTGGAGCCCCAAACACATAAATCAGCAAAGCAACATTCTTCGTTTGCCAAGGCTTGAATTTCTATGCTCCAACAATGCCTTGCCCTCAGCTAACAGACCCCATTAAAAATACTCTAAATAGCTGCTTTATACTATCAGAACATTGTCTATTTTGGTTAAGAAAAGTTCTCCAGGATTTCAAACTGGGTTCCTTTACTCAAAGACGCTGGAGAGTGAACATGGGACCTTATGCAAGGTTAGCATGTGTTCTACTGCTGAACTATGGCTCCTTACCACATGCAGCAGCATGTCCTGTAGCTTCTACATCATTGCAAGAAGCTAAACCCCCTTCTACGCTCTGCACACAGGATGAAGATATAAGTTTATAAACACCACACTCACGTAAAGCCACTGCTGTATTAGCAGGCAGAAGCTAATCTTATGCAATAGTAATAGTATCATTAGTGTTGTACATGGATGAACTGACCTAATTATACAGGATCATTTAAGGTAACTGTTTTGCTCAAGCAGTCATGAAAACCCAGCCAAGATACGTATCTGCCCTGAGATTTAACTAGGGAACCTGAGATCATCTTATGGAAAAGGAGAGACTGTGATGCATCTTGACACTTGAACCCTTTCAATTTCACTCTGTAAAATTCTATTATTGTTAGTAGTAGTAGTAGTAGTATTCCTGATAATGTCCTCAAATCAAGCGGGCCAAAAGTCCAAACAAAATACTGCTCCTTTTATCATCTTCTAGATATTACTAAAGCAATTTATCTTAAACCTGCAAATTGTATTCTTTAAACTATATTAATAAATTCTGATAGTGTTAAAATCATTTTTCTTTTTAATAATAAAAATAGATTAAGATATGCTTACATCCAGGGAACACTCAAACATTGTGTCATCCAGCAAAATAATCTTGCAGTGCATGTTGTTTCTGGGCCTTCTGGCTGTTTTCTGAGAACCTTTTAAGTCTTTGTCTGCTTTCACCTTGGTATTCTCCTTTTTTTCTTCCACCTGCTCCCCCTGCTCTCCTTCTTCCTTAATTTCAAGATCTCTATTTTCTGGATCTTGATCTTGATCTTCTCTTCTATCTTCCTGAGCAGGCTGAAATTAATGGATAAAAGTTAGCAATTTTGAACCACAACACAAAAGTGGGTCTATTCTGAGTAAAACATAAATGTTTACAACCCATAGAGAAAAATAGGGCATAGCCACAAGGAGAAGCTGAGAAGGTTCTGCTTCTATTTTAGAAGGTTAGTCTTTCTGTTTTAGTGGGGGACAAGCTAGGTTCATAAGCCATAGTTTTCTATAAGCATACTCTACATGGCCATGACTTCCAAAACTAGCAAACTACAGTTAGCACCGTGCCTCCATGTTTTAATTTGCAGCCACAGTTTAAAGGATTGGAGACAATTCTAAACACAGTTTGACAATTCATATACGTTAGAGAAAACCAAGAGATGTTAGGGGTTATTAGCATACAATAGGGGAAGAAGGTGCATAAAGGTCTACAGGATATTCACAAGCCTCCAGACCATGGTTTGGAGGACTGGGGTTATTGTTTTGCAAGCCTTCAAAAGCTTCTTTAATGCTTTTTATATTTTTAAAATTCATACATATAATTGGAAACTGGGAAAGAGCATAAAATGCCAAAAGCTGGTTATATAGGTAATGTTGTATAAATTTCCTTTTATTAAGCTACTTTGAGATTTTTGATTAAGTGGTATATAAATCTAACAAAATAAATAATTATATAAACTAGAACCTGCTGACATGTTTACCTTAATCTTTGGAACGTATTGCAATTTGCAATAGATTAAACCTCTTACCAATTAGATACTAAAGGTTGTATCTAACATTAGCCATATTTAAATAGACCCACTGAAATTAATGAATATGACTAAATTGGGTTCATTAACTTCAATGGATTTACTTCAAGTAGTACTTACCTGGATACAAATCTGAGGCTGCAGTTCTAGTCACATTTACTTATTAAAGTCACAAGTGTATGAGCAGGCTACACATGTCAGGATGTTCTTGAATGTCTATTAATCAAGTTAAAGGTAAAGGTACCCCTGACCATTAGGTCCAGTCACGGACAACTCTGGGGTTGAGGCGCTCATCTTGCGCTATAGGCCAAGAGAGCCGGCGTTTGTCTGCAGACAGCTTCCGAGTAACGTGGCCAGCACGACTAAGCCGCTTCTGGCAAACCAGAGCAGCGCATGGAAACACTGTTTACCCTCCTGCCGGAGCGGTACCTATCTACTTGCACTTGATGTGTTTTCGAACTGCTAGGTGGGCAGGAGCTGGGACCGAACAACAGGAGAAAGAAAACTAGTTTGTGTCATATTTACCTGTGTTTCTGCACTGCTCAATGAGTGAAGATCTAAAGATGGGTCAGTCCTGAGCTCAGGTTCAGGAGCAGCTATTGGGGCTTTCAGCAGAATCTCCTCATTGAGATCGAGGTCTGTCTCTTCCTGGCCTCCTTCACCAAGTTCCTTTGTTTCTGCCTCGTTACCTTCCTCCTCAGAGACCTGAGATTTGGGCCTCTTGAGGAATGATGAAAACAGGCGTGACAGGCCCCGACTTTCAGAAGTGCGCTCTTTGTTCTTGCTCTGGTCCTCTCGTGTAGGCGTGTCACCATTGGATGCTTTTAGCTTCTTCTTTGACTGATTATCCCCCTCAGGTGCTTTCTCCAAGAAAGCTTCCTGTGTTCCTGTTTCAGCAGCTACCTCCTCCTCTTTTGGCGGCTGCTGCTTGGGAGTCTCAGCCTCTGCCACTAAACTCTTTTCAGTTGTCATGTTTCTGTTGGCAGAAATGTATAAGAACTGAATAAATGCTATGTAATCACAAAACCACTGCAAACTGATCACAAAGCTCCAAAAGTAACAAGGACCACTAATAAGGGTCTCCTGGTGTCCGCTTATCGAAGCTGCAATTAATAATGGGAGCAGCAATTCTTGTTGTTCGAAACTATTTTCACATACCAGTATAGCCTTGCATGCAAGTGCACATTGTTATGCTATATAAACATCTAGCTAGTTTTGTTACTTCAAGAATGTCTAGAATTATCATTCACAATTATGATCACAGAAGGAGGACAAAGGCAGATGACCAAATCTGCCAAACTGGGTGCTAAATTACAATCAAGAGCACATAAACTGTGTGAAATAAATAAAATGTTGTCGTCTTAGAAATCAATATTAGAAGGTCGGTATCAGAACTAGCCTACTGCACAGCAGGTATTCGTTGTTGTGGAACTGTTCTTGCCAAATGCTCAGGGACTCCAAGCTCTCTGAGAGCATTCACATTACCTCAAACACACTTTCGACTATACTGCATTCTCCCTCTCCTAAAACAGAACAAATGCAGTTCCACACAGAAGTGAATAACCTTTCAGGTCCAGTAAGCCAGACCTTTAACTGTCCCCATCCTGAAGGCCAAGTCTGACAGGTGGGTAGGTGTGACAATCACCTGTTCATCACTATTTCACTACAAACATTCCCCACAAGTAATTGATGGCATATTACAACCCCAGTTAAATTCAAATATTGGTAGAGAAGAGTTTTTGAACCTCTTTATGCTTTTATCCAAAATGCAGGGGGCATCAGGATGGTGCAGGTGCACACGTGCCTGCGGAGGCCTTTCCTGGCAACAACAGAGTCACACACCCCTCCCAAAATAGACTTAAAACAAGAATTCTTTTGCAGCAAATAGAACAGGGTACAGTATGTGCCTAGTTACAAGTTGTGTATATGGTCCTTTGTAAACTGCTTTGTGGTTTTTTGAAACAAGTGATACATAAATTTTATGAAACAAAAAATTAGAAATAATAAATTAGTTTCTGGGCCTGAAAATGGTGCCAAACTGCCCAAATGCATTGTGACTGATCAGAGTAATTTGTCCAAATTTTGGTGACCTGTTTGAAATGTGGCCACCCCTAATTTTTAACTATAGGCTGATTCAGACATAACCTGGTTCATACATAACACTGATCCAGTAAATTATGTTTTAGCAGATCAGGAGCAAAACGTTGCTTGCACATTACTTCCTCAGGTCTCTGTTTTCCTAGTTTCTGAAACCATAACACATAACATAAAAGTCTCTTCAGCTCCTGTTATTTTGTTTACATAGATTTCTACCCTATCCTAAGGACATCCAGTGAATTTCATAGATTTGAACCCAGACCTCCAAATCCAACAGAATATTAATTCAAAAGCTAGTGTCATGCTCTATAGAATTTCATGCAATAACATTTCTAGAGGTTAAGTGAAAAATGCACTTTCGTTGCAAAATCACCTATGCCTTTGAGCAATTTGACTTTACCCAGACACACTAAACAGCTGAAATCTGCCATTCTGCTTGTGCAAGGCTATCCTTGCATTTCAAGAGAGCAGAGGAAGAGTGCAGCTTTCACATTTCTGAAGTGAACTTTTTCTGTTAAAGGGCAGTTAGTTCATGTAATCAGTGACACAATGTTTAGCATGGCTGCTGAGAAAGATAAGAGTCACATGTGAATTATAAACACTTATCATTTATATAGTGCATGTTAGGCTCCCAGAACTTCCCATACATTATCTTAGTAATCTTCACAACAACACGGGCCCCAATGGACTCAGAAGGACTTGCTTCTGAGTAGACAACTAGAGCACTGTACTGTAAGTTACTGCTAACGAAACAAGGGCAAGGCAGCATAAAGCCAGCATGCATTTTAGTTTAAACTTAAATGTGGATATTTTTCATTCAATTTCTATGTAAGAAACACATCTGAAATAGGACATTTCCTCCTAAATTAAATAGAGAAATGTAATTTCAGTACATTAAGCATGTTGAAGAGGTTGATCGTGATTGCCCAGTTGATCACAGGGGTATCTTAGATCTCTCCCAAAAAACGCTCAACAACCTAGCCCCCCCCCAAAAAAAAGCTCAACAACTCTTGGCAATGACAATGGGTAGATCACAGCTGTTCTTTTTGTACTGTGAGTAGATCGCAGTCTCTTAGGAGTTGGACATGCCTGCAGTACATGATACCCTTTACCCTGTACAATCCAAATCCATCACTTGATATCATTGAGTGGAGCACTAATAGTGGCTCCCCTTTGGGCCAAAATCACAACTTATGTCAATGAAGAGTCGTGTCTTCAGTGTTCTGTTCTAGAGACAACTTCATGGAACTCCATACCACAGGAAGTTATAAACAGGCACCATTCCTACTGAGTTTCAGACACCCGGTATACTGGCTTTCTCTGTTAGATGGAGAACTTGAACCCACAGCTCTAGTTCTGCTTCCCAGATGTTTTTCTTTTTGAGATTCTAAATTCTTGAGGTTTTACATTTTGTAGGTTTAATTTATATTTTTCATTTTATTGTTGTAAGCTACTTTGAGACCTTTATGGTGAAAAGCAGGGTATAAAATTTTAAAGAAATATAATGCCAGTTTTCTGAAATTGGAAAATCACCATTTGCAGTATTTCACCATGTAATAAAACAGCTTTTCAACTCGTGCAAGTTCAGAGTCCATTCTTTACACCAGTAAAAATTATCCAGCCATCCCCGACTACTCTGGTAGCCAATATTCATTTTCAAATTGTATAAATTTAAAGTCTCTTGACCATACACCTCTGAAGAAAAGTGCTTGGAAAAATAAATAAGGCTGTTTCTTATTTATTACACCAGATAGTGCAATGAGAGCTAACACGGGCTGATGAAAATATATGAACAAACATTTTCCCGTAACCTGCTGCCCTTCTGATATTTTGAGCTACAATTCCCATCAGCCAATGGCCAGGGATGGTATCAGTTGTTGTTTAGCCCGGAGAATCCTGTGAATAATTATACCATCATCATACTGGGCTCCCTGCTATTTAGCTTGTGTGATGGAACTCCATCCTAACTGTGATCAGAGAAACTCCTTTCCTTGCTAGTTTTAAACAGGCCTTTAAACCTCACTTTTTATTGAAGTTGTTAAGAATTATTTTACCTGTCATATGTTGGAAAAGCTAGATGGCCACTTTGTTGTCTTGCTGGTCTGTATATTTTAGGATGCTAAATTGATACTTTAAATGTTGTGATAGGTTTTTTGTGTTTATTTCATGGATTTAATAGAATCATGAAATTGTAGAGTTGGAAAGGACCCCCAAAGGTAATCTAGTCCAACCCCCTGCAATGCAGGACACTTTTACCCAATGTGAGACTCAAATCCATGACCCCTAGATTAAAAGTCTCATGCACTAATGACCGAGCAATCTAAGAGGCAGAGCCTGCTTGCTTGAGTGTCTATTTCATTTGTATTCCACGTTGGGAGGCGACTACCTGAAAAGCAGCATAGAAATATTTGAAATGAAGTGAAATAGATATGTTTCCATTCAGCCCTAGCATTAGAAAGAATGAGGGGACACAGGCAGCAGATGCTGGGGGTGTGGGGCAGCACTGGCAGACACAAGGCTGTTCCTCCTGAGCCTCCTGGTTCCCTTCGGCTGTTTGTAGGCTGTGTTACCTGTCACACATCACTAAGCTAGTCAGCTGCCCAAAGGTGTCATACACAATACTACGGTGCTGCCAGTACTGAAATAAGATTCAGCTGCTATTCTAGTCTGTCTGAACTTAAGAGTGGTAAGGGAACTATCTTGTCCTTCGCCTCTGAAAGCAAAATGTCTTGGACTGGTCTTACCATTCAGGAATGTGAGGACACAGAGAAACAGAACTATACTTTGGGCTGAATGCCAAAACGACCTGCTTTGATACCGAATTCTATCCAATCAACTGGGGAAAATACAAACAAAAACATCATGCTTTAGAAATCTTTCCAATCTACCACTCATGGCTTTGAAGTGGGGAATGAGGTATTAGTTTATGTGCAACTGCAGCCCTAATTGCTATTTCTACAAAGTAAGCAAGACACGCCCTTAAAAAAAGCCATTTCCAGTTTTAAAAAGTAAACTTGGGACAACAAAGATTGTCGCAGGACTGACTGTTTATACTGGCCTGTCATATTCACAGGATATACAATTCATAGCTGGGGTTTGCTTAGATAAATTAATGTCTCTAAGTCTTCCTGAGAATAACAATACTTTTTACAGGGAAGCCTTAGTAGCATCAGCCAAATAAGCTTAGCAGGAAAAACAAGAGGATGCAGAGATGGGCACATACAAGCAGTTCCTTTTCCTCTTATCTCCTTTGCTCCTTCCTTGTGTTCTTATTCTGTTTTTAGACCCCCTAAGTATGATCACCTGGAGTCTTTTTTCTCTCTCCTTTCAAATGAAACTTGGCAGCCTTAGCAGGATGTAAAACAAAGCACCTTTTAATTTTAAAAACATAATTATTTTTAAAATAATTAACAGGGCACTTTTTTAAAAAAAAAATCTAAATAAACAATGAGATGGAGCCAAACATGCCCTTCTGCTCATAGAAAGCTCTTCTGCTTATGGAAAAGTTTTATAGCTAACACTAGTGCCTTGTGTGAGAAAAGTTAAACTAAATGCAATTTCCTGCACAAGCAGAAACATGAGATCTGTTACAGAACCTATTATAGCACTACACAAATTCTTAAGTGTTTGCAAAACAGGCCAGTTGCTATATTCCTTCCGTTCATGGTTTTTTGTATCCAACCCTATAATCTGTCTCCAAAACATTTTTACCACTATAAATGTCACACACATACAAAAATCCAACCCCAAAGTCAACCAAGTTCTGTCTAGTTCTGTAATTCAACAGCAGCCAATGGGGTACAGTGGGGGCAGGAAAATGAATAGCAGGATATCTTAGGGAAAGTAACACTAAGCACACAGAAAATGTGAATAACTTGA